ATGCACATAGAAAGCACTCCATAAATACATGGTTAATTAGCCTAGATACTATCATGACCATGTGATGATAATGAGAGGATGTGGTCACTCTTGTTACGTTCCCAAATCATATGGTGTCTAAATGGAGTTTCTGTTGAGTGCTTGACAATGTGGTCATGAGAACTCACTCACCCTGGGAACAGTAATCAGGGGTTCCCCTTGAGCTTTTGCCTAATAGCATTCTGTCTCATGTCCTTACACAGACTATTATAAATAGGACATTTGTTTACAGCCATGGCTATACCCAAAGTTTTCCTGCACAAATCTTCCTCAGATTAGGGGCTAGGAGCTGCTTACATAATGTAATCAGAAATACAACTTGTTAAATGGCCACAAACCCTTAATTTCCCTTTCATGTGCCTATTCCATTGGAAGAGAAATGTATTCCTTTTGAATGAGAAGAACTTTGTACATGTTTAGTTTGTTTTTTATATCAACTTTGAGGTATAATTTACATACATTGTAACTTATCCATGTTATCATGTACATATCGATGACTTTTGGCAAATGTAAATATATGTGTAACCATACAGATTTTACAAACTATGTATAGATTTTACAAACTGCATTAGATCGGATTATGAGTTACAATTATTGAATAAATCTTGATTGTAAAAACAATAAATATTTTGGGATTTATATTGTATTATTCCCTTTTATATGCAAATATATTAACACACTATACAGATACCTAATTCAGAAATTTCAAACATTTTGCTGCTTCTGATTTAGAAGCATTTAAAAAAGGAAAATGCTTTTAACAATTTACTGTACTCAATTTTAGGCATTACATTCCAAGAAAAAAAATCCACAAACTAGAGAACAAGCAGAGTAAGTCGCTAGTACTGAAAAGCTGAGAAATCATGTTCTAGAAAGAACACATTAGAGAATCAAGAGTTCTTAAGAGAAGAAAATATGCTGAGGTGTGGTAGGGTTAGGAAGGATAATGTTGATCTCAAAGAAGTGAAAAACTTTTTGGTTTTTTTCCCTCTCCATTATGGTTTATTACAGGATATTGAACATAGTTCCCTGTGCTATACAGGGAACTATATTCAGCAGGACCTTGTTGTTTATCCCTTCTATATATAATAATTTGCATCTGCTAATTCCGAATTCCCAATCCATCCCTCCCTAGCCCCACTTCCGCCTTGGCAACCACAAGTCTGTTCTCTATGTCTGTGAGTCTGTTTCTGTTTTGTAAATAAGTTCATTTGTGTCATATTTTAGATTCCACATATAAGTGATATCACATGGTATCTTTCTCTTTCTGACTTACTTCACTTAGTATGATAATCTCTAGGTTCATTCATGTTGCTGCAAATGGCATTATTTCATTCTTTTTTATGGCTGAGTAGTATAGAGAAAACCGTAATGACTCCATAGAAAAACTACTAGAAATGATAAATGAATTCACCAAGGTAGCAGGATACAAGATTAGCATACAGAAATCTGTTGCATTTCTTTACACTTACAATGAAATATCAGAAAGAGAAAGTAAAAAAACAATCCCTTTTAAAATCACATCAAAAAAAAAAACAAAACTTAGGAATAAACCTGACCAAGGAGGTGAAAGAACTGTAAGCTGAGAACTATAAAACACTGATAAAGGAAACTGAAGATGATGCAAAGAAATGTAAAGATATCCCATGTTCTTCAATTGGAGAAATTCATATTGTTAAAATGGCCATATACCCAAGGCAATCTACAGATTTAATACTATCCTTATCAAATTACCCATGACATTTTTCACAGACCTACAACGAATAATCCTGAAATTTATATGGAATCATAAAAGACCCAGAATTGCCAAAGCAATCCTGAAGAAAAAGAACAAAGCAGGAGGCATAACCTTCCCAGACTTCAGACAATACTACAAAGCTACAGTAATCAAAACAGTGTGGTACTGGCACACACACAAAAAAAGACATATGGATCAATGCAACAGAAAAGAGAGCCCCGAAATAAACCCACACACCTACAGTCAAATCTTCGACAAAGGAGGCAAGAATATACAATGGGAAAAAGACAGTTTCTTCAGCAAGTGGTGCTGGGAAAGCTGGGCAGCTGCATGTAAATCAATGAAGTTAGAACACATCCTCTCACCATACACAAAAATAAACTCAAAATGGCTTAAAGACTTAAATGCAAGACTGACCCCCGAAAACTCCTAGAAGAGAACACAGACAAAATATTCTCTGACATAAATTGTGGCAAAGTTTTCTTTCTAGGTCAGTATCCTAAGGCAATTGAAATAAAAGCAAAAATAAACAAACAAGACCTAATCAAACGTATAAGCTTTTGCACAGCAAAGGAAACCATAAATAAAAATGAAAATACAACCTATGGATTGGGAGAAAATATTTGCAAACAATGCAACAAGGGATTAATTTCCAAAATATAAAACAGCTCATACAACTCAATAACAAAAAAACAAACAATCCAATCCAAAAATGGGCAGATGACCTAAACACATTTCTCCAAAGAAGACATGCAGATGGCCAATAGGCACAAGAAAAGATGCTCAATATCGCTATTAGAGAAATGCAAATCAAAACTACAATGGGGTACCACCTAACACCGGTCAGAATGACCATCATTAAAAGGTCTACAAATATCAAATACTGTAGAGGGTGTAGAAAAGGGAACCCTCCTATACTGCTGGTGGGAATGTAAATTGGTACAGCCACTCTAGAAAACAGCATGGAAGTTCCTCAAAAAACTGAAAACAGTTGCCATATGATCCAGCAATCCCACACCTCTGCATATATCTGAAGAAAACTGTAATGTGAAAAGATACATTCGCCCCAATGTTCATAGCAGCACTATTTACAATAGCCAAGACATGGAAGCAACCTAAATGCCCATCGACATAATATCATGTCATCTGCATACACTGACAATTTTACCTCTTCTCTTCCAATTTGGATATGTTTTATTTCTGTCTTGTCTGATTCCTGTGGCTGGGCCTTCCAATGCTATGTTGATTAGAAGTGGTGAGAGTGGGCATCCTTGTCTTATTCCAGATTTTAGTGGGAAGGCTTTCAGCTTTTCACCGCTGAGTATTATGTTGGCTGTGGTGAAAAACTTTTATATGGTAAAAAGACCAAACTTTTTCAGGATATGGCTCCAGAGGGCAAAAGTACTAGAGGGAAGTTATTAAGGGTAGAGTTTACTTTACATAAGAAAAAACTTCTAAGTGTTAGAGACTCCAGATGGAATGGTTGTGTCCCTGCACTGTTATTGTTCAAAAAGAGGCAAAAGATCATCCATTTGAGAAGTTGGTGCAAGAGTAGAAGGATTAGATTAGTAGGCCTCCTAAGTCCTTTCCAAAAGGACAATTCTGAGATTGTGTGATCTAGGAACTTCTTCTAATTTAAAGCCAGATGTCAGGGAAACCATAACTCAAAGATGTACAACCCCTAAATCATGGTTTGATCAAGAACAATGAACTAAACCCAGACAGAAGCATACGCAGAAACAGACTTGCACCTGTATATACATACGTATACACACACACACACACACACACCCCTTCCCACAATTCCTGGGAAGGAAAAATAAGAATAACTTATAAAAATAATGACAAAATCTGTTCTATCTTTCCCACCAAATCTACTTTATGTTCCCTAGTCTATGTTAATAGTATCACTGGCTACCCGGTTACACAGAATAAAGCCTTAATGTTTATTTTCTTTGACTCTTCCATCTTCCTCCAATTCCTACTAAGTCTACCCCAGAAATACCTCTCAGCTGTCTTTTATCTTTATACTTGTATTGCCATGCTCTCAGTTAAACTCCTGCAATTGATTCCTAAGGTCCTTCCACCTATAATCTCCTCCTCCCTAGGGCTATTATTCACACTAACAGTGATCTTTCTGAAGCACAGGCTATCACATCACTCTAATCTGCTCAGAAATCTGCTGGCTCCTTGATACGTACAAAGTAAAGTTCAAACTCTTTGGTATGGCCTTCAATGGCATCTCAATCTCCTTGCTTAGTTTGCCCATGGTATCTTATGCTTTGGTTACACTGTAGTTCTTGTCATGCCTGAAAGGCTATACCCTTCTTTACTCCATGTTTTTGTTTAAATGTCTTCAAATGCACCCCCTCATTCCCTCCTGTGGAAATTTTACTCATTTTCCAAGGCTCAAGCAAATGCTACCTATCTTGTGACACTATCCTTAATGCTTCTATGTCACAACCCCTGGCTCCCTCCCTTGGAATTAAACAATTCTCCTTGGAGCCAATACTACTTCTTTTCACACCTTATTTTTGCATTTTACAATAATGCTTGAAATTTCAGTTTTGGGTGAGTCCAAGCTTATGGCCACCCACTGTAAATCCTTAAAGGCAGACAGCAGGCTTCATTTATTTCTATATCCAACTTTGTCAGAACCCCAATACCAAGTACCTTTTGTGTAAAAAGTGCTTAATAAATTTTTTTTTAATTGAACTGGGATTTGACGACAGTTAGACTTCTGTCCATGGCTCAATACCAGTCTTAAAAATTGTAAATTCGGGACTTCCCTGGTGGCACAGTGGTTAAGAATCTGCCAATGCAGGGGACATGGGTTCGACCCCTGGTCCGGGAAGATCCCACAGGCTGCAGAGCAACTAAGCCCATGCACCACAACTACTGAGCCTACGTGCCACAACTGCCGAAGCCCGTGTGCCTAGAGTCCGTGGTCTGCAACAAGAGAAGCCACTGCAATGAGAAACTTGCGCACCGCAATGAAGAGTAGCCCCCGGTCGCTGCAACTAGAGAAAGCCTGTGCGCAGCAACGAAGACCCAACGCAGCCAAAAATAAAAAATTAATTAATTTTTTAAAAAAGAATAAAGAGCCTTAATTTTTAAAAAATTGTAAATTCTATTAAAATTCTGATCAGAAGCCTAGTGATTGATAAAAGTCTCTTATCCTATTAATCTAACATCTCTGAGCCAAAAACAGTTATATACTTACATTCACTAGGAGAGAGAAATCAGTGACCAGTTGGCTAAGTTCAATTAAGTCCTTAAAAAGAAAGAGAAAGAGGAAGTTACTTACTTTCATGCCTCACAGCTACCAAAAGGAAAATCATTTTTAACATACCGCTTCTAAGGTTTCCCATGATTCTGCAGCATTTTGATCTCGAGGAATTTCAGGCAACACATATATCTGAGTCATACTCTGAGGATCAGCTTCATCTTCAGTAGTGTGAAATGTTCCTGGATGAACACAGCCTCATGTTTAGAGTTTATCTGCTTTGTTAGAAAGATGGTAGAATGAATCAATTCCGTAAAACAACTACCATGTGAAATGCTAACTAACAGAATTCAGGCTAAAAGTAAATTGATTATATATCTATGGGCAAGTTAGTTAACAAATATTTTTTCTTTAATTATTCTACAAAGTCATCTAAAAAAATTGCTACAAATACAACTTACCCAATCTGAATAACTAGGGCTAGATGTGGAAGTAGCACAAAGTAGAACTATTCTATTTGGCCAATGTTCTATGAAGAGATACCCAGTAGATATGTTTAACACTTTTCATTGCTAAATCATTAACATTTCTTTGGCTATTTTAGTAATAAACATCAGATTCACAAGATTTTAAAAGTAGGGAAGTGATGTATTTTTAGCAATGAAAATCAGTCATTTTTGGTAACAATAAATTTGTCATCAAACTAACATCTCTTACCATATGTATCTTTTTGTACATATTGCCATCCTTCTCCTCAGAGTAATTTTTCTGGCCCATGCCTCCACTGCTTCTATGTCATTTCTGGATTTTAAAAAGTCATCAACCCATTAAGGCTTTCCTCATTAAACACTGCTATAAAGATGAATTAATTTATACTCCAAACTCCACTTTCAAGTCTTTCTTATTTCCTTCTATTGGTTTTACCAATCCATTCATTAAACTGATATTTATAAAATGCCTACTATATGCCAATCAGTGTGCTAAGGTAAATCACAAAACAGTTCCAAGTCATAGTGGTTAGGGGTATGGGCCTAGTCAGAACGATCTGGGTTAGAATCCTAGTTTGGCTATTTACTAGCTCTTTGACTTGGGAAGGTATTTCACCTCTTTGACTGATTTTCCTCATTTGTAAAATGAGGTGGTATTTATTTTGCACTGTGGCTGGCTTATCTATTAAGAACAAGTGGTTAATAGTTACTATTACTGTCACTGCTACTGCCACTATTGTTAATGGAACTTACTATATAATGTGTGATATAGACATGTTAACAGGCAAGTTCACTATAGTCTGATAAGAACTATGATACGGGTAAGCATGGAATGCTATGTGAGCACCAAAGAAAGGTATTTAACCTAGACTTGTGGAGGAAGAGTGGTCTGAGAAGGTTCTGAAGCTGAAGCCTGAGGATGAACAGAAATTATATAGCTGAACTGGGGCAAGGGTAGAGGGGGAAGGAGAAAGTATTCAGGCTAGGGAGAATAATATTTGCATAAGTTTGGGAACTGAAAGGAGTCAGTATAACTGAAGCATAGACTATAACAAGAGAAAGCAAAGGTTGAGGCTGGAAATCTAAGATGACATCATTTATGGCATTGTAAACTATACTAAAGAGTTTTGTCTTTCTCTTAAGATCAATATGGAACTTTTAAAAGGAGTGGGAGACTATTGGGAAGCTGAGGGTGCCATAATCAGATTTCAGATTTAGAAAGGTAACCACAGCTGTAGTGTGAACAACAGATTAAGGATGGAGTTGAAAGGTGAAAACTTAAAGAGTGAAAAACCAGTTGGGAGGCTTTTCAATGTGTCTGGTGCAAAATGATGATGGCGTGCTCTAGGATAGTGGCAGTGGAAATGGAAAGAAGAGATCTGAAGGTCTACTTCCCTTTGTCTTCCTTACTGCAAGCTCAAAACACCTACCACTTTAATATTTTCTGAGCACCCATTATGTATTGTGTTGAGTACCAGGGATAAAAAAAGTGAATACAAAGTATCTGCTCTCAAGGAACTTATATTCTAGCAGAGAAGACATAGAAAGAGACAATCCTAAAACAATAAGAGAGTGCACTGATATCTAGCTAAATATAGATACATATAGTATTTATGGGAGTTTCAAGCTGGGGGTGGCATCTGACCTAGTTTGGCGTGGTGTGCACCAAACTAAAAAAGGTGATCTTTTCTACTAGCCTAAGAAGATAGGAATATAAATTCTAGGTGGAGAGACCAGCATGAAAAGGGTCCTCAAAAAAAAAAACAACCACCAATATAGCGTAATATAAAATCAGCAGTCTGGTCTTGCCAAAGCATAAAGTAAAAGACATACAATATAAAAGTGGTATTTTATAAAACTGCATTACTATTTTACTTTCAAAATTTGAGAATGTTTTACCTCTTGAGGAAAAAAACCCATCTGAATTGTTTAGGAAGGGCACAGTCAGTTGATTAAAAGTTAATATGTAGGCTTATTAGAATTGACAGTGTTCTTTTAATTTTGAATCTTCACTGAAATGAGTACATTTCCCTACCTTAAAGGAAGAGCAAAAACTTCAAATACAAAATATGTTTTACATTACAACATATAGCAAATATCCAACATTTTAAAAGCTCTGATTTTTACAAATGCTTAAAAGAGTTATTTACCCTGTCTTAAGTTATCACATAAAAATACTTCTCAAAGTAATTAATTACTCTAAGATCTTTCTTCTACTTAATATTGCTTTTGTAATAAGAGCTCCCAACTTCTTTAATAGGATGATGAATAATGATAACTGTTATCATTAACAGATCAAATGTAAAGCAGAACTTTATAAACATAACACCACTCAAAAGATTTTTTTTTAGCCATAATCTTCGTTCTGTTAGAGAAGATTCCAATGAAATATGCCAGGACGTATAACAAAATAATTATTATTATCTTGATTACATAAATTCTTGACCTAAAAAATGAAGGGATGGGAAATGTTTGACATTTGAAGCAAACACAAAAGATTTCCCTCAGTGAAAAAATAAAAAATGTTTAAGTCATTTATGTTTCACTTGAAACCAAACTGCGTATGCATCTTAGTTCAAATGGAGTCTTAGAACAAAGAAATCTGTTCTCTTCCATGGAAAATCCTGCTGTAAACTTACAACTCGGAACATCACTAATCAATTCGAGGCGTGACTAACAACTGAGAAAGGAATCTTTTAATTTCTACAACTTCCGTAATTCATTTATTCCAGCTTGTATTAAAAATCACTATATCTCAGTGATCATCCATTGACTTTGAACTTTTACAAGTTGCTACAGACATGATGAGGCAAAACACAGAGATAGATTATAGCTGCAGGAAAGATGGCTAAAGAGTTCTTATCCTGTCCACAGAAGTCAAAATTGCTATTGTTTTACAGGACATAACAATCTCAGTTCCATCCACTTGCAAACAACTGCAAGTGTAAAGGGCACGTGGACTATACGTATCACTCACCAGTGTTTTTCAAATTCTATTTATAAAACATTATTGACTATAAACTCAAATAAACATTAAGATATTTTTAATTCATGTGAAAAATAAGCTTAATAACATGGACATAAGACTCCTCCTTTCTCTCTATGTGTCTAAACATATTCTCTCTCTGCCCCCCCACCTTTCTCCATACATCACGAAGGGCAATGATTCTAGTAAGAATTACAACACATATTTAAGGAATTTCTACTAAATTTTACTACATTAGAAAAAGTTCCATTATAAATCTAAGTTAATTCAAAAGCATTTCCTGAATTCTTTCATGTTCTAACAGCTTTAACATAGTGACATTATTTTACTGATCATCTACATAAACCTACCCATTGAAATAAGATGACTTCTAAGTCATGGCTTAACTAAGCTGCAGAGGAGAATTTTTAAGAATATTAAAACCAATACAAAACACATCTTCTGAATAATATACAAAAGTATCTACATGATTTACAAAACTGTTCAATACAAGTGTATATATATACCTGTGATAATATCTAATATTTCATTAAATTCAATATGCTGGTCTGAAGTTCCCAGCAGTTTTAAGGTTGGATTCTTTCCTTTTGTGAATATTTGTTTAAAATGTAATAAGATTCTGTTTCTATTGCACTGATGAAGTGTGTGTGCTGGATGGGGAGTAAGAAAGAAAGAGAGAAGCACTGGTTTGTTCTGTATGCCTTGATACACCTTTCTAAATACAAAACAAATGTGTAGGCTCATCACTTCTCTTGGTGGGAGGCAGTATGCTAAAAATGAACTAGACACACAGGAGAGAAAGAAGGGAGTTTCTCAGATCAGGCAAGATCGGCAGAGAAGATTTGCTTTAGGAACTCTCAGAATCTGGACAAAAGAAACAGCAAAATCATCACAGCTTCCCCCTAAACTTAATAAGCTTCTTTCATTCTCCAGAGAACATAAAACATTCTATTCTACTTGTTATTTCTATCTGTAAATGAAAAACTATTTTTGTATTTTGATCTCAGTCATGGAAATGTGGCAACATTGCTCCTGAATCTTGATGTTTCCAACCAATTTATTTATAATCAGATTGAATTTTTAAAGGCAAAAGTATTTTAAGGCACTTAATTTCTGTGCAAATCAAACATATATTTTCTGTATAGGCTGTCATTACTATTATGAGTACCTAAAGCAAAAATAAGAAAAAAACAGAGAGCACAGTATAAAAACATGTAGAATGACAGAAAAGAGTCTACAGCTAGAAGAAGACCACACATGGAGCAAACCCAGTTCTTACCCCACTATTAAAGTCTTATGTATTAGTTGCTCTCTTTTCGTTATTCTTCTTTCCCACCCTCTCAATTACTTGTTAATAATATTTATGGATTTAACACAACCTAACAGAAACTTCACATTTGGTGAAATACTCAGGCATTGGGTGAGACAGTTAATTTTAACTGCTAATGTTGGCAATGGATTCAAAGTCAAAGCACAATCTGACCAGCAGACAGTTCAGAATTTGAAACTATACACACTGTTTTAGGTATAATTTAGGTATCTGATTTTATAAATAGAATGACTGTTTCAATTAAATCAGCACTAGATGCAGAGAGTTAATTTTGTAGTTTCTCTCAGTGGCAAGTGATTAGTTCTTTAGCTAATTTGGTATTCCATGAATTGAGAAGTTTGAGAACCAACAGAGTTTCTTCTTAATTTCTTCTCCCTTATCCTCTGGCTCTGCCCCAATCTTCTTCACTTCCTCTGTACACATGCTTCCTCAAATTTTGCCAACATTTTTTTTTTAACACCAGTCAGCTCCCTACAGAGAAAATTAATTGCCAGCAAACTGGGTAAACTACCTTTTTCTAATAATCACCCAATTCCTCTGATGACATATAAACCCAAACTTGTTGAGCCCAAACAATCCTACTGGTAGAAACACAAACAATGCAATACTAAAATGCAAATTAAAGCTAGAATACTTAAATAGAACTCAAAAGTTTTGTTTGCTAAGGAATTGCTGGTGACAGCGATTCAAAACTAAATAGCAGGGCTTCCCTGGTGGCGCAGTAGTTGAGAGTCCGACTGCCGATGCAGGGGACGCGGATTCGTGCCCCGGTCCGGGAAGATCCCACATGCCGCGGAGCGGCTAGACCCGTGAGCCATGGCCGCTGAGCCTGCGCGTCCAGAGCCTGTGCTCCACAACGGGAGAGGCCACAACAGTGAGAGGCCCGCGTACCGCAAAAAAACCCCCAAAAAACAAAACAACAACAACAAAAAACCTAAATAGCAGAAGAGACTGATGCCAGTGACTCTTACAAGAAAATCCAACATTATCAGTGTTATTACTGTCATCACAACTGTCACAATGTCTGGTAGATAAGATGACTCCTTAATCTCATGGAACTTATAAGGCCCAGTTTCTCTATACACAAACAAAGTATAGGTTTGCACTACATGGTAAGAACAGCATTCAGCTGCATCATTATGGAGGTGATAATTACACATGAACAAGATGATGTAAACAGTAACTACAAACTATCAAAAAGCATTCTTCCCAAACACTCTTCGACCAAGGTTGAGTGCTAACATTTCCTTCTCCCCAGAACAACACTTTAGGCAGTGTTGCTAGGTAGTGGTTATCGACAGAGTGAAGTGATTAGAGCACATCTGAAATTATAAAATTGTCTCTAAAAAGATGTTTATTCATTCATATTTCAAAAACATATATTAATAATCCACTATGTGCCAAGTACTATGTATTATGTGCTTAGGTACTAAGGAGGCAATAAAAGCAAGATTACCCAGAAACTCTGGATGATGGCCTAAATGTTTCTTCTATTTTAAAAAAAAATTTCCCTGTAAAACTGGATCATTAGCACTGAAAATACAGCGTTAAAAATAATCTGGTTTTGGAGACAGGGAGTGATACAGGAACCTCCTAACTCCTAGGTAAATAAAAAGAGGAAAACGGGTCAGCTGTAACATCTCTCAGATTGTATTCTAATTTGTAATTTATTTATACTGCATCCTTTCCATAAAGTTTTAAGGTGGCTTAGAACATATATAAACTGTAATAAGATGGCATAAATTAAAAAGAGAAACTCTAAAACAAAAATGGAAATACAAGGACAGCAATTATAAAACAAAGCCAGGAAAGTTCAAAATTTGGGCTTTTGCAAATTAAAAAATGTAGATTTAAGTATTCCAGTAAACAATTCAAGTAGAGAAATCTTATTAGTGATGCCATTCAATACCCAGAAGAATAAAAAAGATTAATTGGGGCTTCCCTGGTGGCACAGTGGTTGGGAGTCCACCTGCCGATGCAGGGGACACGGGTTCATGCCCCGGTCCGGGAAGATCCCACATGCCGCGGAGCGGCTGGGCCCGTGAGCCATGGCCGCTGAGCCTGCGCGTCCGGAGCCTGTGCTCTGCAACGGGAGAGGCCACAACAGTGAGAGGCCCGTGTACCGCAAAAAAAAAAAAAAAAAAAAAGATTAATTGCTTTGAAGTACTACTACCTATTAAACAAAGAATTTTTTTCAGGGTTCCTTACACAGACATTATACAATGCAATCAACAATTATCAATTACATCCTTAGAAGAGTTATCATGACAAGTTTCAATGGCCTCTTTCTTAGAGTATCACTTCATAAAAGTTAATGGCATGACCCCCAATGCAGACTTTTCTGGGAGACAGATCTAACATGCCCTCTGAAAACCAGAATGCCTAAGAAAGAAGCATGCCTGCCTAGGCCACCCCCGCACCTGGAGATGAGGGAGGAGTACTCTGCAGACAAGGATGACACTCTCCTTAGGAAATATTTTAAAATTTATTTTTAATATATGCACAAATAGGTACTTGAAGCCTGTAAGTTCCTCACTATACAGCATAGCCTCAATTTTTTTACCCTGTAAAACTTTTAGGATATGCAATTCCAAGCACACTCAGGGTCCAAGAATTCAGCATACTGGACTAGGAGGTGATCCCTGGAGATTTATATATAATCTGCAATATCAATACAAGGACGTAAACTTAATTAACTGCATTACTATACTATGATCAAGAATAAGACTTAGTACATTACCACCAACAGTCATGGATCTGGTCAAAGAAGGCTGTAATAAAGTTTCTTCATCATTATATTGTTTCTTAAGTTCTTCTACAGATTCCAGATGGAGCTGAAGAAATTCTGCTGTTGCTGCTGAGGCTTCTTCTTTAACAGGATCTATCATTCTCTTCAGAAGTCCAAGGTCATCCTTTTGGACTTTCAAACAAAGCTTCTCCATTTCTCGGATATTGGAGCGGAGTTGCTGTAAAAGAAAAAAAAATCTTTAAAGCCACCATCTCTTAATATAAAATATCTTTATTTTCAGAGGTAATTTGTGATAATGGCTTTCAATGGAAATCAGAAGTATTCTTTACAACAGACAGTATGTATTAATACTTTTCTATTTTTTCATGTCTCTGGCCAAATCCAGCTTCTTTAGAACTCACATCCTCATACTCTGAATTTATTTAGCATTTTTTCCTTCATTAAATGTGATTATTACAAAGGTAACAAATGCTCTTCATAACAAATGAAACAATGCAGAAACACATCAAGAAAAACTTAATGACTTTTTATTTTATATTGGAGTATAGCTGATTAACAATGTTGTGTTAGTTTTCTCCACTTCACCAATCCTACCACTTCTCTTAACTCAGTCCTTTCACATATTTATTGCTCATACAAACATTAGCATATACAGCTTTTCTTTTTATAAAAAACAAATTACATTATGCACAATAATCTACAATTGACAAACTTCCACACCCCAACTTAACAATATCATAATGGATATCCCTCCTGGTCAATGACTGTACCATATTCCATAGTACTGATGTAATATAATTTATTCGATCACTCCTCCAGTGATTAAAGTCATTCATGTTGTTTCCAGTTTTTAGTTATTACAAACTATGAAACAAATGTACTAGACTGTAAACCCTAATGTATGGTAACAGTATATATTAGTGTTCTAGCATATACTATTATACTACATTTTGTAGGAATGATTCCCCAAAGTTAGGCTACTCACTCAAAGGATAATATGTATCTTTATTTCAGTAGCTATTATCAGTTCTTCCTCAAAAGGCTTAACAACTCACACTACCACTAAAGTCTGAGTTCCCATTTCCCCATATACTGCCAGTACTACATGTTATCTCACTGTTGTTTTACTTTGAATTGCTCTCTGAAGTTGCTAGATTTTTATGAAATGATCTTCTCTGCTGTTAAAAATCACCTATTGCCATAATTTATAAATTTTTCTCTAATGTTGATATAATAAATTATGGGCAAATTTCATGGTATAGGGCCATTTTAATATTTCTGAGATAGACCCTCCTTGGTCAATATATACAATTTTTTAATATACTGTGGGATTCAATTTGCTAATATTTTATTTGGAATTTTAGTACATCTGTATGAGTATGTGAATGTGTGTGCATGGATGCACACATGAACAGTGTGTGTGTCTATACTATCTTCACTAGGTTTAAACTTATTCTAACAGGTTTAAGTTTGTGCTAGCTTCATAAAATAAACTGAGGAGCTTTTCATCTTTTTCAGTGGTCTAGACTTTGAAAAACATAAAAACCAATTCTTCTTTTACAATTAAACAAAACTTGTAAGAATGATCTATATATGATGCTTATTTAAAATTATAGATCTCTAGTCATATAATATTTTAAATTCTTTTCCCCTAATGTACTTTCACACACACTAATGCAAATCCTGTACAGGAGACAGAACAAAAAGTACTGATTTCTTAAATTTTTCAAGTGCCTACTTTGAGTGAGGTGATGTAGTCCATATTATTACATTCCACATTATTACACATAGAGAAATCAAAACAAAATTTGTTCAGGATTTACTTAATTATCTAGCAGCAAAACTCAGGTTAAAACCCAGGTATTCTTACAAGTCCAGCAACCTTTCTATTAAACTATAACCATAATTCCTAGCTATACGGTACCTTAATACAATCTAAAGGATCTATTGTATTCTACTAAAATTAAAGCTAACTCTGGAAAAAAAATAGTTTAGCTACCACCTAGAGCATCTTGTAAGATATTGTGGGTGAATCAAAAAGTTGTACCTCAAAAAAAAAAAAAAGTTGTACCTCTATCCTATCATGACTCCATGCTTCATTTAACTTTCTGTCCACTCTTATCATCCCCATGTGAGTTGGAAAACCTAAAGATAATTGGACTGTGGATTAAAAATATGTGATACATAAGCATTTTAGATGTAAAATTCATGGAACCCTAAGGGGCTTATGTGATCATTCAATTCAACTTCACAATTTTACAATATGGAAACTAGAGTCCAGCTGAACACAGTGGCAGAATTAGGACTAGAGTCCAGTTCTCAAGTCCTGGAAAAATATTGTCTCCTACACACCTCTTGGCTGTGTGATTCCTTTCTGGACTACAGTTATAACTTGGTTATGTACTTGCTACATAGTTCATAGAGGTATTTTAGGCGATGTTACTTTGGAGAAGCATTAAGAAGTTTCTGCAGCTAATGAGCATTTGCCTCTGACATATTCTTCCCCTCTTATAGAATCTGTACATATGTTACATCCCCAGTCAAATTACGGTGTCTAGCTTTAAGAACCCTTTATTACTATGGGTGAAGGGAAAAATGTTAAGGGAGAGAAAGGAAATACCCATTTAACTATAAAATCTGATACTATAATAACAAAAACACAAATAATGGCTAAATTTGTATCAACACTACTGTAAGTTGTCCATTATGCTAAGTGCTTTACCTTCTTTATCTTGTTTTACCTTCACAATTTATTTTTGAAATAGATATTACTGTTATTCTCATTCTACAGAAGAGAAAATTAAAAGCAAATTAAGAAAATATCCCAGGATTACACTTCTAGTAAAAAGTAAAGCCAGGAATCAAATTCAGGCTATAGAGCATGTGCTCTCAACAACTTTACTATATAGCTATACTATCCAAAAGAAATACAATACAAACCATAAATGCAAGCCATACACTATGTAATTTTAAATTTTCTAACAGTCACATTAAAAAAGTAAAAAGGAAGAGATGAATTAGTTTTAATATATTTTATTTAACCCAATGCATCCAAAACATTATCATTTCAACATGTAATCAATATAAAAATTATTAATGAAATATTTTACATGATTTTATTTGTAGTCAGTCTTAGAAATTTGGCATATATACTACATTCACAGCACATCTCAATTCAAACTAGCCACATTTTAAGTGCTCAACAATTATATGTGGCTAAGGGCTACTATATTGGACAGCTACTATATAGCTACAGAGTCTCTCTAAAGTTAATATGTGAAGAATATAAAGTAGGTGTTTCTGCTTCTGGCTATAGCAGGCTGGATAATTAAAATAACCCTCCCATCAATGACGACTTAAAAAGATGAAAGCAACATAAATCACAAAACAAACCGAAAGAAAAATAAATTCAAAAGCATCAAAAAAGCAAACAAGGGCTTCCCTGGTGGCGCAGTGGCTGAGAGTCTGCCTGCCAATGCAGGGGACACGGGTTCGAGCCCTGGTCTGGGAAGATCCCACATGCCGTGGAGCAACTGGGCCCGTGAGCCACAATTACTGAGCCTGCGCGTCTGGAGCCTGTGCTCCGCAACAAGAGAGGCCGCGATAGTGAGTGGCCCCCGCTTGCCACAACTAGAGAAAGCCCTCGCACGGAAACGAAGACCCAATACAGCCATAAATAAATAAATAAAGCAAACTGTCAACAAGTAAAAATAAATAAACACTTATAAAAAAAAAAAAAAAAGCAAACAAGATAGCGAGAAATTTGTAGGCCAAGAATTGGGCAAAGATGGAAATCCAGAGACGTGAGTCCTGAATTTAGGTCACATTTGCTTGAGGGTATCTGATTACCAGAGTCCTTGACAGCCTCACAAATCTCAGGGTAAAATATCCAATGCCAGGACCTGCTACAGATAAGCACTATGGTACCTTGGGTTGGAATCTTAAAAGAACTGCACCCTAGGAGCACAGGTGATCCTGAAATAAATCAGCCCTTGCATGAACTGCAGTTTGGCTTCCTGTCTTTTGTGTAGCTAACATAAATCTTTATCTCTGAAATAGTATAAAGATAATCTTGGAAGTTAGTACCCCAGAGGCTTAGAAGAAGCAAATGAACATCCTCTCTGGAGGAAAATAACGTCACACCTAGCTATCAATAACTTCCATAAATAATTTTTCAAATATAATGTCCACCAATCAAAGACAATCAAGCACATGAGGACATACACAACATAATGAAGAAACAACAGACAATTGAAACATCCAAAGGGACATCTAATAGGGGAATTAGCAAATGTAACTTATAAAACTATGGTTATTTTGTTCCAAGATATAAGTATCAAGCTTGAAAATTCAGGAGATAACCGGAAACCATAAAAGGCAAAATATAGATTGTAGAAAAGAATGAATATCATTTAAAAATACAGCACACAATCTTTGTACACTGTTGGTGGTAATGTAATTTGGTACAGTCACTGTGAAAAACAGTATGGAGGTTTCTTAAAAAAATAAAAATAGAACTACCATATGACCCAGCAATTCCACTCCTGGATATATATCCAAAAAAATCGAAAAACATTAATTTGAAAAGATACATGCGAAGATTGCTGGGGAAGATGGCGGAAGAGTAAGACGCGGAGATCACCTTCCTCTCCACAGATACACCAAAAATACACCTACACGTGGAACAACTCCTACAGAACACCTACTGAACGCTGCCAGAAGACCTCAGACCTCCCAAAAGGCAAGAACCCCCCCGCCACGTACCTAGGTAGGGCAAAAGAAAAAGGAATAAACAGAAACAAAAGGAAAGGGAAGGGACCTGCACCAGTGGGAGGGAGCTGCGAAGGAGGAAAGGTTTCCACACACTAGGAAGCCTCTTTGTGGGCGGAGACTGCGGATGGCGGAGGGGGAAGCTTCGGAGCCGCGAAGGAGAGCACAGCAACTGGGGTACGGAGGGCAAAGTGGAGAGTTTCCCGCACAGAGGATCGGTGCCGACTGGCACTCACCAGCCCGAGAGGTTTGTCTGCTCACCCGCTGGGGTGGGCGGGGCTGGGAGTTGAGGCTCGCCTTCGGTTGGAGCGCCGGGAGAGGACTGGGGTTGGTGGCGTGAGCACAGCCTGCAGGGGGTTGGTGCGCCGCGGCTAGCCGGGAGGGAGTCCGGAGAAAGGTCTGCACCTGCCAAAGAGGCAAGAGACTTTTTCTTCCCTCTTTTGTTTC